CCCCAAAACCCCAAAACCCCAAAACCCCAAAACCCCAAAACCCCAAAACCCCTCAATCAACGTAAATATTGATAATTTCATATAATTATTATCTAAATTATTATTTTTACCCATTTTTTTAGAGTCATTAACTAACGCTTATATCTAGACAGAGTCTTCGATAATCTCAATATTCTGTTCTACGAGATCATCTATAATACATGTGTTTCCTTGGCTAGGAGGTCGAATATTTCCTTCTCGACTAGAAGGTTCATTCTGCTCTAGTTCATCAAATCTTTCCAAGAGTTGGTTCCCATTTTCCTTGAGAAGCTCTCATTCTTCCTCCATGTCTTCCCATTTTCTCCTATTTGCAAGGAGGGTGTCTAGATGTATCTTTGCTGATGAAAGGTATTGAGACCAAACCTCGAACGTTGGCTTGATCACAAAGTCAATGAAGCCCAACTGTGCTGTTGCAATATTCGTGTTAAGTCTATCCGTCATAGAGCTAACAGGAATCCCAAGCTCAAGCTCTGCATCTCCTTGAACGAAGAACTCTTCGTACACCAAGCATGCCCATTTCTGGGACTCGTGCCATTGCTTGGTGGGATTTGTTAAGTCTGAAGCATGAAGGCACATTTCCATCAAAAACATTTTGTTTTTGTTAGAATCAATATCAAAACATTCGTCCCCAAGGATCTCCTTCATCTCATTCAGATGTGTATTGTGCAAGGCCATATCGGTAGAGATGACGACCTGGGTGAGCTTATTTACGTAAATCCCTGTACTCAGAACTGCTCATATGTTCAAAGATGTTGCACTTCTTGTCCTCCCGGATCATCTGAAATGCTGCAGCTACATGATGATTTTCGCACACAGACACATCGTTATACCTCAGAGCCCAAGAATGTTGGGTCTCTATCAGGAAGGAGTTGTTATATCCTTGGTGTCCATAGTCATGAATTCCCCCACCGATAATGAGCGTGGCAAGGTCAAGCTCGCTCAACTTGGCTTTCTCCATCAGCCCGTGCCTGGTTGCATAATAATACGAAAGTCTACAGACATCAGCTCCATGGCACTTATTATGATATGCGATGTCACAGTATCCATCCTGGATCTGAGTGATAAAGTTCAGATATATTACAGGATCAATAGCTCAAGTGACGAATAAGTTGTGTCTGTTCAGCAGATAAGTTGAAAGGGTAATCAACTCATTTCCATTAGTTGCCTTGCTTAATTCAAACATGTCAAATTCGAACCTGTCAACTTTATGTAATATGTTTTTAGCCTTTCTCGTCAATGAAAGCTCTCGTTCAAAATCGTACTTCTGGACCTTATCTTTAATCTTATGCCGAATGTGGTAGGAATCTCGACGCTTGTGAACGGCCAATACACTAGAATTAATGCAGAACTTGTCCTTTTTTAGCTTTTTATTTTTAAAATCTTTATGGATTGTGGGCAATGTTTTTGTTTTGCTCCCTCATTCAGAGCAAAAGCCATAAATTCCAGGAACAGAATTGGCCATATTGCTATGAATTTGAGGTATGTAGTGGCCAAAATAGTATTGGAGTATGAATTTGGATTCATCAAATTTAATAACGATTAAAATAACTCTACAGAATCTATAGGCTCCTAATTCCCTAAACTCTTGCTTATCTGTCATATCAAGGATTGTCCATATTGTTAGGACCAAAATAATGGGTATGAGCAGACTACTGTAATAAAGACTGAGCGGGTTCTTATTCTTCACTAAAAGGTCAACAATTCTATCAAGGGCAATAGTTGCTAAGAATAGTAGTTCTATAATCTGGATTGCCAATGTGGCTCCTTCGCTTTGGTACACATTTTCTTCAACAGCGAGTATGGCAATAAACATTAGAATATAAGTTATGCCAATGACAATTCGGAAAGTCTCAAATGGTGTAATTCTATACGATCAGAAATTTAATAAACCTCCAAAGAACAATAACTTACTTCTCAGATTTTTGCTTGACAAGATTGCTCTTAGCTTTCTCCAAAATTTTAGAAGGGGCAGCTATACTAGAACGCTTGGAGGTCACCCTTCTCTCAGGGTCTTCTTCTGGGATAGGCATCATATTATCAGATTTAGCCTCCTCTTTAGGTGTATTCAGCCTCAAATCTGAGCTATCAACATCTAATAATCATTAAGGAAAAGTACCCTCATTATCTTTTGAGTCAGAAATTGGCTGGCTCTCAAGACTAGGCCACTTCTGAGAATCACCCCTCTTTGGATGTACGAATGCTTTAAGGTCATTTTTCTTCCTTGTAAGATTTGAAGAGTCATTCATAGTGGAGTCCCCTAGAGTCTTGTTGTCACGGGGCCCATGTTTATCCATATTTTTATTTATGCAAAATTACCCAATAATAGAATGCTAAATAGGGGTTTTGGGGTTTTGGGGTTTTGGGG